CTGTTGAAGCAATACACAGAAGCAAAGCTGTGTTCATGTCCAAATAGTTAGAAAGAAAGAAAGAAAGAGAAAGAAATGGAGGTTGTCTCAAACTGGTTTGCAGTATGACTAAACTGGATCATTCCCACTTTTAAAAAATCCTACTGGAGTTCACAAATTCTCTGGACAAAAGTACAGTGATAATTTTAATTCAGCCCTTCAAAATAAATGTCTTCTTCTTGTCCCCCTTCTTTGTCAGCAAAGCCACAGTTTCTATGTTCACCACATCTTATCCCTAGCATCCTCTTCTCCCACACCAATTCTCTGCATGTCCTCCTTCACTATATCCATTAACTCCTTTTTAGATTTTCCTCTTTACCTCCTGCATTGCAGCTCCATATCCATCATCCTTTGTCCAGTACAGCCACTATCCCTCATCTGCACATGCCTCTCTAATTTCGAGCTGTTCCTCTGATGTACTCATCTGTAATCTTGTGCATTCTGGTCATTTCCAGAATTGACAGGAAATAATCTCATGCTGTAAACTGTAGTTTGTGTGTTGCAAATTTGGTGCAACATTCTAATTTGGACATAGGTGTGAATGTGAGTGTCAACGGCTGTCTGTCTCTCTGTGTTAGACTACTGATCTCTCACAACACTCCATCCCAACTGGGATAGTCTCCAGCACTCCCAAGAATAAGTGGAAGAGAATGGATGGATGGATGAAGTGTTTAGAGCCCTCTCACTGCATGTTTCTCTCGCTCTCCTTTCCCCCTCTCACGGTCTTCTGTTTGTTTGCACAGGTACGGCCAAGGTGCGAAGGTGGTGCACTTCCTGGGCAAAGTGAAACCGTGGAACTACTCCTACGATGCTCAGAGTGGCGAGGTCAAAGGTCAGTCCTCACTTGACCCCTGCGTGCTGCACCCTGACTATCTGCTGATGTGGTGGCAGGTGTACACCAAATCTGTGCTGCCTTTACTGCAGAAGGCCTACGGAGACACTCCCTTCCTCAGCGGCTTTATAGAGCAGAGCGATGAGGTATGTTAACGGTTTGTGGGTCTCGGGTGTGGCTGGTGGGAATGTGATGAAATATTAATGACTATGAATGTATGTGATTTTAGGTGTTGTAGCATGTTGCATAATCAGCATTTCCTGACTGTTTCGAAACTTCTAATTGCATAGCAACTCTTCTTTATATTGCACATATCTTTTAAGTGTGAAATTCCATCATGTTGAGCAATTACCAAATCTTTAAATTGTTTCAATTTCTTGTAAAGCTGCATTTAAAACGCTAGGTTTAGTCATAATAGTGATAGTAAATAAGAGCTGATTGGTTCCACATTCCTCAGCACCAGACGATGTCTGTCGCTACTTTCATTCCTCTCAGCAGTGCCACAACTGCATGAATAGCTTACTGTCATCAGTGAGCCGTGCTGGGACCTTCAACTGTTTAACACAGAATAGCAGGAAGTTGCCGTGCAGTCTGTAAGTCACAGCACTGTAGTGAAATAGCTCTGTCACAAAGGAACGCTGCCAAAAGCCTGTGGCTTTGCCTAACAGCCTGAAACTGTGCCATGTTGTGTCACACTTACATGTTTATACAGACAAGCAGGAGGAGAAACGTAATTTTCCATTTGCTATGACTAACTTTTTAAGACTATAGTGGTGTAGTTCTTTAGATCTGGACTCGGATCTGTTTTATTTGGCATTTTTATAGAAGACTTTAAATGATGAGTAGAAATTCGACATAATTTTTGATCCAGCTGCATTAATGACAGTATCAAGAAATCTCACTAAAAAAGTGATTAGAATGCATGTTTAAAGTTTGATATTTGAAGATTTTTCTCTTCATACTCATAATTGTATATCTATGAGTATGATAGTCTGAAAGGATTATGATGTGTAAAACAAACAAACTAAAAAACTAAATTAAGGGGAATAAACTGATTTGAGACTGTTGTGAATCAGGAAACAACTTCTGGTATTAAAATATTTGTTTAAGTTATAAATTCTACCTGATTCTTCCACCTGATGCAGTTTATTAAGTGCACATCCAGCATCTAGAACTGTTTATTTTTATAGTGTTATGATAAATTATCTCAGAAAATAGTGCTACTCTTATCTCCTGCAAAATGTCTTGTTTATACTTTTACTGTCCTTAAGAAATGCCTGCACGTACCAAACGTGTCTCAAGGCCAGAAAAGAGCAAATTCCTCTGTGCGGTAATTCCAGCGGAGCATGGCCGGGCTTGAGGAAAGCAGTCCTTATAAAGTATTGCTCTAGTTTCACTTGATGATTCATTCATTCACTCTCCATGTCATGCAGGGTAAGCTTCACGAGGATGTAAGAGAGGAGTCGGTGTCCTCTCCTCCTTCTGTGCCTCAGAAGATTTCATCGTCTGAGCGGAAGCAGCGTTGGGAAGCGGGCCAGATCGACTACATGGGTGACGACTCGTTTGCCAACATCGAGGAAAAACTTAACTCTTTCCTAAAGTAGTGGGCGACCGAGGGAGCGTGACGGACACTAGTTGAAGCTCTGTGAGGTTGGGTGGGGGTGGAAGGTGGGAGTGTAAACCACCACTCAGTGAATCACAGGGGCTTGATTGGCAGGTGACTGGATGAATGCTTCTGAGCAAATTTCGGTCTCCACCTCTGCATCCTGTTAGTGTGCAGAGGGTTAAGTGTGACTAAAACAAAATTCCCATGCACTCCACCTTCCACTTTTTTTTCCTCTTAAAGGAAAAATTGGACATTTTAGGATAAATTACTTTCTTGCTGAGAGTTAGGGGAGAAGATTCACATGGTTTTATAGTAAGTGTGAAGCTATAGCAGCAGCTGACCAACTAACTCCCTTAGCACAGAGACCGCAAATAGTCGTTATTATCCCGTTATTAAGTGCTGTGTATATTCTGAGATGTAATTTAGTTGCATTGCTAACGGTACAAAAAATATGTAGAGAGAGATATTTTAAAGAATCCTAGAGATGTGTATTGTCTATCTGGAGTATTACAGTATAGTAGTATAATGGAGTATTTGTTATGTTGAGTCACAGAATCAATCCCTTACATTAGCAATGAAAGACAGAGGTTGTGGACCTCAGCTTCACCCCATGCAAACATTTTAAAAGTCTGGGTAGAGACTGAACATGTATTAATTTGTATAAAATATCTTTGGAGATGCTTTTTACAACTGAAATTAAAAAAAATTAAATTTTAACTTTCTTTTCCATCCTATTTCCCTGCCCAAGGTTATGTGACCCAATCGCCAAGTGATGTATCGAGGTCAAAAATATTGAGTGGAAGCTGCTAGTCTGTGTCCAAAGTTAACAAAGACTAGCGATTGATTGGAAACTCCCTACAAAAGCAGAAGTGTAAAGAAACAACGGTTCTGTTTTATAACCTGTAACGTATCAATTTTCTTGGCCAAGCACCTTGAGCCACATATATATACATAAACGCTGATTTTTATTTTTTCTTTAGTGTTCACAGATGAATTTTATGATGAGAAAATGAACTGCAATCGATGGACCTCCAGGTGCTGGTTGGTCAGTTGTGCTCTGGCTGTTTCTGCAGTTCGAGTCTTCATGCTAAGCGAGGTTATCCAGCTGTGTGGAGCAAATCCTCTCACCAAACTCTTGACAAGAAAGAAAAAAGCTGTAGCTACTTCCTAAAATGTCTGTTCCTTTTAAGTGCACCTGTTGAAAACGGACTCACAGTTCCGAGTCTTCCTGATCTTTGGAAAATCTGAGCAGCTCAGCAGAAATGCAGTCGCTTCAGGATTTTTCCATCTATCCTACTGGCAATAAACCTCTATGTCTAAACCACTTTAAAGCAGATATGCAGACAGTTATTAAAATCCCGCTTTACATGACAGTTCACCTCACTGGAGTGCACAGATGAGCGTTCCTGTCTGTGCCTCTGACACTCACCAGCTCCCTGTGACTTCAGCTTTGTGTTGTCTGGTATCGTATTAGAGCAAGACGTGTTGTGTTGTATTTGCATGGCACAGAGTTAAAACATGGATCAGTAATGAGGTGCTTCCACCCACATCTTGTTAACAGTCACGTTTGTCTTGTGTTTTCGTGGGATTGAACCACAGCGCACTCGTCAGACATCTGTTACCGTCCATCCGTCTCCTGCATGTACGTCCCTGTCAAACTTGCATCAGTGCGTCTGTGCCATTAACTGGGTTTAACTTCTTTACTTCCTTTCTGTAGTGTAACCAGCTGCCTTATTGCTGTTCACTGTTTACAAAACCTCACTTACTGTAACTGCTGCTAGTGGCACAACAGATTGAACGTTGACTCCATCCCTTGCTGTTGCCAATACCCTCTTTGCTTCAATCCTGCCGAGTGCCCCTCAAAACTGTTACCCACAGCTGTAAAACACTCCTAAAACAAGCTGGCAAGGTTATGGGAGAAGTCCATATGTAGCTTTCTAGGTTGTGAGTTAGTGCACATCTGTCCTGTTTCCCAGCTGTTAGCTGTACATCCCTCTGAAAGCTCAAATAAAAAAAACAAAAAAACCCCACCTTTAATCTACCTCTTGTGTTGTTTAATTTTTACTGTACTTGTTATTGGATGTCGTGCTGCAACTGTGCTATTTGATTTCTGTCAAATGTCAAGGCTGTGGAGAATCAAGTGTAAACAGCCAAAATGTCTGGTTTTATATTGACTAAGAGATTTGGAAACTATTTAAAGCTGCATTTTATTTTGGAAACGAATCCATTTTAGAGGTTGGTTAGATGGTTCAGACGTTTACTGAACATGCTGCCATCATTTGTTCTACTTTTCTTTTACGTGGTGTGACAACAGATGTGTCACAGATCCTTTTTTCTTCATTTAAGTTTTCATTTAACATCTGGAAGCTGTTGTATTTGGTTATATATAGCAGATACAGATGTACTACATCAGTCATGTGCATTTCTTTAATTTTAGAGTCATAAAAAAAAAACTCAAAACACTCTCACAACTGTTCAGTTTTGCATGGGGAAAACTGAAAAGTTAAAACTGTTACAAGGTAGTTAGGTTTGTCCAACCTTCACCTCCTTTAATTATTAACCTTAATCTCTTTATCAGCCGCTTCCAGTAATCAGCACAGTATTGGCTTGTTAAAGCATGTAAATCAAGAGTAGCAGTTGCTAAACATCACAGCTGAATAATATGAATGCTTGCCAAGTGGTACGTCCTGCATCTTTGTATCAAAATGGTGACTTAAAAACCGTTGAGCACATTTATCATCAACAGAAACTATGCCTGACCATGACGAACGAACACACAATAACTGATGGTTTACGGTTCAAATGCAAATCATTGTTTGTAACTCGTGTTAACGCTTCAGTTCAAGTCCAGTACCAGACGTCTACAGCTCCATCAGAGCTACGATGTCATCGATGCGAGATGTCTTCCTGTCAGTGTTGGTGGATCCGAATGCCTTCTCCATCAGGTCCTGTTTCTTCCTCTGGATCTTCACCATATTCTCCTCCACTGAATCCTTCACAATGAACTGCAGCAAAAAAAACACAAACATGGTCACATGATTAGTTCTCTAGTAATCTAGCATCTTTTTTTAAATTAAAAAAAAAAAAATCACTAATCAGAAAAAAGCAAAATATGTCTTTCCAATACTATAAATAGTGAGAGCCAAATTACTGACCTTAGTGACTACAACTTTCCTTTTCTGGCCTAAACGGTGGCAGCGGTCAATGCACTGCTCTTCAGTAGCTGGGTTCCATGCCTAAGACACAAACACACAGAGAGAGAGTTCACGGTAACTGAAAATATGCAATATTTATTCCTGAAAACCTTCTATGACAAGATAGATTTCGAGATTCGAGATCCTTAGAGATCGTCTTTGTCATCCTTGTGCACAAACAGCTAACGGGATGTAATGAATGCTGAGTAGTGGTGCACTCTGATGCCATTTTGACTTGTGATGCAACCCCCATGACATTGCTAGCTACATCGGTGCAACCAATGCAGCTTGCTGGGCTAGGCTGGAGGTACAAATGTGCAAGTAGGTCAGTCTGTGAAACATCAATGCAGCCACAGGGATTCCCCGCTGCAACAGCTGAAAAAGATCAGATGTTCTGCAGAAAATCTACCATCACTTTATTTCAGTTAACTAATGATTATTTTAAGCAGCAGAACTGATCATTAATAAACTTCAGTGAGTCAAGCATCCATCCGGTGTGAATATACATGATTGTGGCACAGTGTTGGCATCTGCACAAGTAATGACCGGTGAGCATTACCTCAACATTATCCTTAGGTGGTAAAGCAAGCCAGATCCTGATGCATACCAGTTCTATCAGTTTAGTAATGAGATAAGAGCCCAAGTCCTGACCTAGTCACACAGCCATGTATGGTATTTGTGTTGTTTTCTTTTTTCCTTTCATTTTTTTTAATGATTAAAAAAAGATTAACAAACTTTAATTAATGTTCAGAGACCTGTTCCTCGCCTATTCCAGTCAGTCTACCTCCACTACATACACCAAAGAAAATCTCAATCTTTGATAACATGATTCCTAGATGTTATCAATTTGTTACATAACTTAGTCTTTGGCCACCAACCTATGTGGTTGAATGTCTGCTTCCACCAGGCTTTGTACTTACGGGGTCCATGAGAAAAACGTGAGAGGCAGCGGTCAAGTTAAGCCCCACTCCTCCGGCTTTGAGTGACAGGAGCATGATGGTGGGGCTGTCGGCCGCTGAGCTCTGAAACTCCTGGATGACTTGAGTCCTTTTCTTCTGGGTCATGGTGCCGTCCAAACGCACAAAACTGAAGCCATGCTCTCTGGTGAGGAGGAAACACTTCCATGATGACCAATCAAATAAAATATTTAATACAATCAATTACATTTACACCACAGTCTGTATGTTTTCAGTGCTAGTTTCTGTCTTGTAGCAGATAAATCAATAGGCTTTAAAGCAATCATTAATAATAGTAAAAGTAACTGAAATGATTAGCTGAATTTTACTGAAATAGAAGACACATTTAGAGCTTCCTTCATAAATTTTATTTATTGCACTGTATTTTTTCCCTGGTCATCAAAGCCACAGCTGCTCCTACTCATTTTTGTTTCGGCTGCTCCCTTTAGGGGTCGCCACAGCAGATCATCCGCCTCATTTTCATCCTACCCCAGCATCCTCTTCTGTCACACAACTCTCTGCATGTCCTCTGCAGGTCTTCCTTTTTTCTTCCTGCTTCCATATCCATCATCCTTTGTTTAATTTATCCACTAACCCTCCACTAAGCTACATGTCCAAAGTACCTGAACTGTACTTCTCTAACTTTGTCTCCAAACTGCTCTCATATAACCATTTCTTGTTCATTATGGTCACTGCCAATATAAATCTTGGCATTTTTTAGCTCAGCCTACTGCTTTTTGTTAGTACCAATGTCACCAAACCATACATTAAAGCATGTCTCACTAGTGTTTTCACTCTTACACTCTCTTATGTGCAGTGCGTTGATGTGGAGGGTTGATCCCAGGTATTTAAACTCATCCATCTTTACTACCTCTGCTCCTTGCATCTTCACCATTCCTCCAGCCTCCCTCTAATACGAACATGTATTCTGTTTTGCTTCCACTGACTTTCAATCCACCAGCTACCTGCTCTCGCTTAAGATCACAATGTCCAAACATCATAGTCCACGGATACTCCCGCCTGATCTCATCTGTCAACCTGCTCATCACCAAACAAACAAGATGGGGCTCAGTGCTGATCCCTGATGTAAGCCCCTCTCCAACTTAATCCCATCTGTCACTCATACTGCATACGTCACCACTGTCTTGCCGTCCTCCATCAAAGCCACAGCAATCACTGCAAATCCTGAATCTATGATCTTAGTGTTGTTTACCTGAGTGGAGTCTCCAGGATGGTGAGGAAGCGTGTAAACTGAGAGACGACCAAACACTTTATGCTGCTGTCTTTAGATCGCAACCTGAGCAGATTTCCCATGAGCGCTTGCACCTGCAAACACACAGATTTTCACACGGCACAGAACAAACCCATTTTCCACTCCTGCCAAATCAAAACCGTGGAGCTACCTGCTTGCTTTAAGTTTTTGGCACCACCTCAGCTAAAGTTGTGAAAGAGAACTAATCTGCTCTATTATATACAAAATATCAGACCACTGATTGCTTAGAGATTAGCAGTCACTTGAGTTTCCATGTGTGCACCATGGGCTTAATGACACAAGGTGTGATGAACAGCCACATGCTGAGAATCAGAAAAACCTTAACCTTGGTTATATTCCAGTGTTTGTGTTCAGGTTCTGTTTGATATAAAAGTACCCAGTACCAAAAGCAAGCAAAGACTAGCTGAAGCTTTACCATGTGTTGAAAATTAAGCTTAAGGGATGGCTCCTGTTTTAGGGTCTACCGAGTGCGTTTGTTATTTTCTCCTACTTAAAGTGAGTACCTTTGAGCTTGTCCTCCACCTCTCAGGCTTTGTAATATTCTCTTCTTCCATTTCCTCTTGTGGAAACTCCACCAGTTCACTGGTCTTGATTTCACCTCGACACAGAGGACAGTGCGCCACCTCCTGTGCCAACATATGGAGCATCAGCAAAGAGAGGAATATGAATTTAAATTAAACTGAATATGTATTTGTTTTATGTAGAATGACAGCTAATTTACAAATGCCTGATGCACATATACCTGTCCCGAAGTGCTGATGACCTGTGCGATGCATGGCCGGCAGTATACGTGGGCGCAGTGTGTAATGACGGGCAGACGGACCGAGTCCAGACACACGGAGCACTCCTCATCAGAGCCGCTGGCCAGCACCAACCGCAGCTTTTCTATGAGACGCTCCCGCAGCTCTGCCGGTGTTGCTGCAGCACCTAAAGCCAGAAAGTGATGAGGAGGGAAAGAAATAAGCAAATGAAGTAATTGGAAAAAGGAGAAACATTTCTAATGTTTGTATTATACAAGTACTTGTTTGACTGATTATCTCAGAACAGGTAGTGTTAAGAAAAAGGTTTTACCAGCAAAGTCAACTGTTTGCCTAAAGTATCTTTATATTTTAACTCAACACGTTAGAGCTCAAGATAGCAGCAGAACAAAGTAAAAAACATCCTAATTATCAAGCAAAAAACAACAAAATCCCCACTAATGAGTTTCCTCATTGATAAGGTTGATCATCGGGTGTTTTCAAAAGTTTTGATCTCGTTAATTCACAAATTTCAGATTTTACCTAAATCTGAGGACATCTTTGCCAGCAGGTCAGGGTGGCAGCAGTGCTGTCGGAGCCTCATGAGAATGGCAAGCACATCAGCATAATTCCTCAAGACTGTACCTTCAGCTATATATCTGCAAAAATGAACGTAAAATCGTATTTTATTATAACATTTGACATGAATGGATGAATCAACAGTCACATGTCCCGTCAAATAATCTCACACAGGTACTTTCTGTCTTAGCAAAAACACTCGTCACTCTCAAGCATGCTTGCGCAAGTACACTGACACGCTCCACACGTACCTGCCAATGGTGTTTTTTCCTTCAGTGCGTGCCAGCTCGTACTCCTCCCTCTCTGGTTGGCTGAGCTCTACCTGCTCCACGTAGACTTTCTTCTCAGGCAGTGACACCAGAGGCCGCCCGTTCACCTCACTGTTCTTGGTCCGTCTCAGGGTGATGCACTTCACTAGTGTCTGAAGGTGTCTGCACACAGTAGCAAGTATCACAGACTAATACTGTAAGGTGTCTGATTATTAATAGTACTTTATAACAAATTCTTAAAAAAAAACAAAAAAACAACAACTTTATCATACCCTCACATAAAATGCGGGGCATGATCTGCGGTGCCACTGCAGGGGAGGCGGGCGCACCTGCATGGCAACCGCAATCACGCCAGGCCGGCTTAAAGTCTGTGCTGACTGACTGTTGTTGGTATATGTCCAGCAGTGAGCTGCAGAGCTATAGTAAAAGTATGCTGAAAAGCATGAACGAGTGGTCAGGTCTGTCGTGGATCTTTCACAGTAACGTGAAAGTGATTCTGGCAAAGTGATTCTGATTAAAAACTTGGATACGAGGCTCTCTGTACAAGAGATTAGACCCTGGAGCTTTAAGCTTTTTTTTTAGACAAAGAAAAACTTTAAAAGTCAAGAAATGCAACAATGAGCAAGGAGTAGGGAACACAAACAATATTAAAATTAAAGTAAGGAGACACAAGCAAAGCAAATAGGCTTTAAACAGAAAGATTATTGCTACTCTTAAGTGAATGGCACCCTCTGCAGGATTGATGCGGTGCTGCAGTCTAGAAGTCAAAGGCTCTCTGAGCACTCACTGCAGGCCGGCCCTGTCTCCTTGCGTAACGGGTCTCTGGATCACTCTGTTCCACCACTCTCTCGTATCAAAGGGCTTCAGACCCAAGAAGGCCACCAGCATCCACAGATCCCTCACACTGTTCTGGATGGGAGTACCTGAAGAGGAGGAAGAGGAATGAGTGTGCCTGTTTACTACATATTCAAAAAACATAATGGCGTACCGTGATGTCGTCGAGGATTTGTTTATTTCGGTATTTACAGTTGTGGTATTAAGATCTATCAAACCAATATCATTCTGTGATGTAACAGAAATTACCATAATTTCTGTTATTTTCATTCTGTAGATGAAGACGCTAATGAAACAGCACAGAATAGTCACAATTATGGTATTAGTTTAGAGCTGTCTACTGTGCCAGTCTACAAAAATACACATTAAAATAAATGCATTGCAAATAAATGCAAGTAGACACTTTAAAAACTGGTTTAACAAAGTTTATATTTTTATGAGTCTGAAACAGTTCATCTTCAAAAACCTATAAAAAATTTACAGAAAATATTAAATATTTTAAAACTTGTATCTCCTTAAGTTTCATTTCAGACTTTTAAATGACCAGTAGAAACCCTGCCATACCATCGCTGTCATCTATTGAAATCTGTGTGTGTGTATTTAGACATGGGATACCTGAAAGAATCCAGCGTCTCTGAGCTTTCAGGTCAAGTACAGCTTTACTCATCTGTGCGTTTGGGTTTCTTATGATGTGTCCCTCATCTAGCACAACCCTCAGCCAGCTGATCCCATGGAGGGGACTCTTATTCTGAAAGGAAATCATTATAGTACATTAGGGATCTCCTAAGAGAAAAATCCAGTCCAGTTACTTATGAATTATTTAAAAAAATTTACCCAATGGCTGGATTATCTTCAGTTTTAATTTGTGTGAATATTTCAGTCCACACTGCAACACATTTGTGTATATACTCACCCCAAAATCAGAAGAGAGGACATTGTACGTGGTGATCACCACATCCTGAGAGGACAGAAACTTTTTACTCCTGTTTCTCTCTGGACCGTAATACAAATACACATTCAGCTTCACATTAGGGTCCATGTGCTGCTCAAACTGGTCCTGCATAAAAGAAGAGAGGAAAATGATGAAAAAAACTACACATTTCTTAACTTTAATTGTAGCCAATTATTATGGCATGCAAAAATACAGTTCTTTCAAAGTGTGCCTTCTTACCAGCCAGTTACTGAGCACAGAGAGGGGGCAGATGATGAGAGTTGTTCTTGCTTTTAAGTCATCTGGGCTTTCAGTGATGGAGGATTCAGCAACTGCACATGTAAAAAAAAAAAAAAAAAAGAAGCCCAAATCAAATATTAAATGACTATCCAAGTTCTATTTCTTTAAACAGAAACAGAAACATAAAACACTCAATAAAAATGCACTGTTGGAACTCACTCTGAGTGAGACTGGACTTCTTGTCTGTTTTCTTCTTCTTTGAGCCTGTGCCAGATGTTGAGCCACTCAGAGCAGCAGCAAAGTCCAGATCCTCAAACAACACCGATCCCTCTGCACCAAGAGCATACAAGTCAATAATTTTACTCACAAGAAATGATTATTAAGAGTGTTTAGAAGCAAAACAAGAAATCAGTTCAGTGCAATCATGCATCTACTTTCTCACCAGTAAATGGACTGGTTCTTTTAAAGCATTTTTCTACTCTATCTGAGCACTCACAGTTATACAACATGCCTCATTCGCCCATTCATTCTACCAAAGTTCTTTCTATCGTACATTCACACTCATTGCACAGATTCACATACACTGTCTGTAAATCTGTGTATCTTGGAGTTCAGTATCTACACCAAGGATAATTTTGCATGCAGACTGGAGCAGCCATAGATCGAACCACCAACTTTCCAATTAGCAGATGATGTTCTATACCTCCTGAGCCACATCACAAGTACACAGTTCTACAGGTTACAGTTATACCTTTGCTTGGTTTTCTCTTGGTTGCTTTCATCTTCTCTTTGCTCTTACCTGTTAAGTGGTCAGGTTAAGGTTAAGTCAGGTTAAAAATGCAAGTGAGTCACAAATGCACAAACAAAAGTTTTAAAATAAACATGTGGAGATGACAATTCTTACTTTTCTCTGACTTATCTGCTGCCTTCACTGCATGTGGTTCATCAACACAGATCACCTCCTCCTGGGTACTGATTCACACAGGGGAATTGGGTCATGAGCTAACACAGAATATAATAGTGCAGAAAATAGATTCCCAATTCCAAAAAGGTTGTGACACTGTGTAAAATGTATATAAAAACACAATGCAATTACTTGCAAATCTCTGGAAAAGCAAGTGGTACTAAAAAGAAAGCTGGGGGAATATTTAGCAGCTAATTATGTTAATTAGCAAAACATCAGTAACATGACTGGGCATAAAAAGAGCATCTTAGGGAGGCAGAGGGTCACCAATCTGTAAAAACTGTCTACAAATTGTGGAACAACTTCAAAATAGTGTTCCTCAATGCAAAATTGTGAAGACTTTAAATACCTCATTATCTGCAGTACATAATATCATCAAAAAATTCAGAGAATCTGGAGAAATCTCTGTGCACAGGCTAAAAATCGTTAATCAAGTCTGTGATCTTTGGGTCCTCAGCTGGCACTGCATTAAAACAGACATTATTTTCCCACTATAATCAATGCATGGACTTGGGTAAGATTTAGTGCCTGTGGAATTGGAAGCGTGCACATTGGGAAAGGCATCATTAATTTGAAAGGTGTATGGATGTTTACAGTTCTGTAGAGGGGATGCTCCACAGTGGTAAACATGGCCCTGTCCCACTGTCCCAGTTTATTTTTGAGACATGTATTTTACGCTGAGTCCCAACTTTTTTGGAATTGAGGTTGTATAATTTGAGTGAAATGTACATCAATAATACACTCACAGGTTAGAACCACTTGATGTGCCACTCACTCCAGCTCCAACTGCACTGCTGCTTCCTGAAGCAAACACACCACATCTTTTATTTAATTTCGACAAAATCATAAAATGTGTTAAAAGTTTTCAGTACCTTCCAGTGTTAGGGCCATTTGTGACGTCGTTTTAGCTTTAATGGGCGAAACCTTCTCAACCTGCACACATATAAACACACATTTTGTAATCGGTGAAAACAAGTTACTCATGAAGCATATTGCCTGAAAAGACTGCAACACACGCCTACTTACACATTTCTCCACAGGCAGCGGCTTTCCTTTGTGAAAATTGGTGAGAATCAGTGCAATTACAGTCAGTGTTTTACCCTAAAAGAAAGGAAACAGTGCAATATACGCTGACTGTGGATGCTGTTAGAATATGATCATGTGATGTGTGCAGTTTAATATGTCTATCTGTGTGTCACCTACCAGCCCCATGTCATCTGCCAGTATGCCTCCACGAACCCTCTCTGGTAGCTCTTTGGCAGAGAAACAAGTGAGGGTGTTGTAGTATAGCTCGCCTCTCTTCTCCCAGAACGGCGGCAGGGCAGCTTTGTTTTCCCGAGCGCACATCCAGGACAGCGCCTGCTTCTGATGGAGCAGGAGGGGAGTAGCCACAGACTGGAAAGAGAGACGGTTGTATGTTAAACACTAAAGCTGCACTCCCATATAAAGAAAAGCAAAATGTAGTGACAGCTTGGAGAGAAATACAAAACTCTTTCCTTAACTCCAGTATAAAAAAAATAAATGGATCTCAATCATTGCATTTAACTGTTGTTTATGAAGTTTAAAAACAAACATATTGCAGACAAAAGCAGGTAATAAATAAAAACAGATAAACAGATTAAGTACCTACCACAGCAGCTTCTTTCTCTCCATCCTTACTCTCCATCAACCCTTCGAAAAGGTTATCAAATGCATTTTTTAGCTGAAAGGAAAAAAAATATAAGTAAAAAAACATTGTTTTCAACACAGATACATGTTGGTCCATCCCATGAGTTTGTTATTTATTTGCTTGTAAGGTGTCCTTGAGTGTTTTCGGACCTATAAATAAAATGTATAATTATTATTATTATTTTATTATAAGCTATAAAGGCTTACAGAGTACTACTAAAACGTTTAATGTAATTTATTTACCTCGTCGGCAGTTAGTGCAGTGGTCACACCTTTTTTGGATGAAAATGCCCGAGCATCTTGACTATTATACCACTGCTGATTGTCGCCTGAAATCCAATGCATGCAGGTAAATGAAGAACCACGAGCATACACACACATTAAATTTGAGTAAATTAAGTCCAGCGATTGTGCAGGGCGTACCTTTCAGTTTGCCTCCCTCTGTGTTCAGCTTATATCCTCGGCGTGACATTTGTTCCAGTACAGAATTTTTACTCTCTTCTTTCCCCCAGAAGGACAGCATCACCGGCATGGTGTAGGTGTTTTTCGTCCCTGAGAATACAACCCTGAACAAGTAATGAGAAGTGTATTAGTACATGTAGGAAATTACAATTTGCCAACATTAATCCTCTAATAATGAACATGCGCCTCAGCTCAATGTCACTTTGACGATGTCATGTCTGGTTTTGCAGATTTTTGCAGGAAGATGCCCTTCCTGCACAACCCCAAAGGGATTTGTCTCTTCTCTTGGAAGCAAACCAGGGATCCTACATTTGTTATCCAAAACAGTACACTATAAGGAATATATGTACAAAAAAAGGAGTAAATGGTTTGATTAATAATGTGATTTTAGTGGTCTGCAACACCTGAGTACTTTTGTTTAGGGGTTCAAGTAATGATAGTCCTATTTTCTGAAAGGGAGAATAGTTTCGGGCACATAGCAGCTCACCCTTCTACTTTCGCTAAGTTGTTGTCCATGATGTAAGCCATTGCTGCTGCCAGCTCCTTCTTGATGTGTCCGACTTGATTTCCGTAAATGTTGGCAACCATCACTGCGTTGCGGTCATATGGATTCTGAGGCTGCCGCACTAAACCGACCATCTCCCCTTGGTTCACCTGTCCAGAGAGTAAAAACACCTTTTGCTTTTCAGGTTTCTCCACATGTTTCTGACCTGTGTGGTAGAACTGATCTGTGTTGTCTCCTCTGTCCACTAGAGGAATAAAAAAGACCCTGACTGATCCTCACCACCCCTGAGTAATATCTGAGGCCGACCACGGTTCCCTTGAGCTGACCAAACAGCACGCTGCCGTCTGCATCGGGCTCCTCAGACGCTGCAGCTCTGATGGCCTGTGAGAGAGTCTCTGCATTGGATTCATGGCGATCTGTGAAGAGGTCCACCTCACTGAACCTGCCCCAACCAAACTTCCACCTGCGGTTGAACTGCATGACTGCAGCAGAGATGAAAGAACATGAGTTTAGATAACAGAGTACTCTGGACTGATGTGATAAGATAAGCTGCAGACTGTAACGACAGAAAATACGCATTCTAAATTTGAAGACACGCAGACGCAGAAATAGCACGTAAACAGTGGGATTAAACTATAATATAAATAACAATATAATAAAGTTAGCTTCTCAACCTATACCTACACACAGACTTATAAGCTATTAAGAGTTAGCATGCGTAGTGTGTCCATATAAATAAAAGACTGTTACAGAGTGTCGACATGAAACAAATCGTTCATACTGTTTAACTTCCTCTCGGCGAAGACTGTAGTTTGTTGTTTTTGACGTATTTTGTTGACGTTTGAGCTACTTTCATCCGCTGCTTATTCAAAAAGTAAAAACGGATTTAGTTGCTCTATAACATCCGGTACTAATTTTCAAAATAAATTATTATTTCGTTTAAAAAGATCGCCCAATAAATAGACATTTTTATATGAGAGCATTCACGTTTAGTCATCAAATGAGTTGTAAAATAAAAAGAGATTAGACAGCGATTAGACAGCGATAACCTTATTCAAGACACCTCTCATCCTGTATCAACATCCTGCTTTACCACCACCAAAACCAAACACCCAAATAATACACATCACTTGACAGGTTCCACCATGCTTTGGGGCCTACATATTTTCTTTTCCCTCTACTTCTACAGAGGAAATCAGAAACGAAACCAGCAAAATACAGTGGAGGATCTGCGTGTTGGTCCCCAGTGGTACAGGTGATCTTGTCAAAATTTATAGAATTATGATACACAAAAAAGTGCAAACCGATTTTAAGCCACCAAATAATACCATCTAGAAAGCATGGGCTGGCCTCCCCAGAGCCTGGACCAGAACATTATTGAAAAAGTGTGGGATCATCTACCACTATCCAAAGAGGAGCCATGAAAGTCCTTCAAGAAACATGGAGAACGATTCCTGATGGCATTTTTAAAGAAATTAAAAGAAACCATTTCACCTTTTTCTTACAATATGAAAAAATGGGGGATGGATCAAAACCTGAATCTTTGATCTAGACAGTACTTTACTTTACACATCCGTTTACTGTTAATGTGACAGCTCAATATCATCATCATCATTTTATTAACCATAGAAAATACAACAAATGACAGTATATTTTGGGTTCATTTTTTTCAAAAACCACAAAATAAATTCTAATTCTTGTTTTTGATCATTGTGCCAGGTTTTAGAATTATGAATGAGTTAATCAACACTTTTAAAAAAAGAAATTAATACGTTTATATCATCAGAACAGCCCTTTTTGGTATTATTCTGAAAATTAAAGATCTGTTGTTTCCGGTGTGGTTGCCACGGATGTTGCGCAGGAGCTGCGTTTACGCGCCTTTGAGTTTTGCCCTAAAAACACTACGGAAGCCGCGTGGTTCCGATTGCTCGGTTTGTTTCGCTTCCTCTCCGTCAGGTTCCTCCCCGGCCCGAGCACGGAGTCAAGTTGAAAACACTCGGGGAGAGAAAAGAAGGCAAACTGTAGCGTGATAAAAGACGGCTTCGTTTTTCGCACCCGCGAGGACTGTCGTGAAATCTCAGCGTCAAATCGGGGCTTTAAACGGACTGAAAACAAACAGACACGGGGCGGAGTTTCGGTAGTTTTGGCCGGAGTGCGGTTGAGTTTTGCGGTTGAGAGCAACCGGTAAGTTAAGACTTCTTCATTCACTAGTCAGTGCAACACTTGTCTTAAACATTTTTGCTTCGGTTAGATCTTTTTCTAGCACAGGAAGCACCCAAACCGGATAGCATCTCCTTCCATAATTACTGAGAAGGCACTAGATCATACTGATCACTAGATGAGATTGAAAAAAACTGTAATAAAGTACAGGAGGCAAAATACCAGTGTGAATTGGGTTTGTGGCTGGCTTCGCCACATTGTCATATTGTCAAAGCAATATAATAATTAACCCAAGTGATGTCAGTCTACAGGGACTGTGTTCACACAAACCGCTGGAATGTATTCTACAAAAATGAGTCTATAAATAAGCAAAACCTGCTTTAGTAATGACGGTACCGAGAGTGAGGTGTTGAAGTTGCACTCTTGAATGTGGTTTACATCTGTAGGACCACATTTTTAACTTAAGTAAGATGGACTTTAAATGAATACAGCCTGTACTTGCAGAGAAATCACACACTTAAGTCAAATTTAAACCTAATTAGTGCATTTTTGTGACATTTAAACGCATTTTTGTTGTTGTTTCTAATTAAAATTGATAAAGAACAATCACGAATTTAGTAGTTTTGTAACAAACTTGTAGACATTGCACTGTAAACCAGCACGTGATCAATTCTGACTGTATAAAAATGAATCAGATAATTATAAATAGTCAGTTCTAGACATTTTTTTTAAAACAAGAGCTAAACATGACTTTTTCTAAAAGGTGTTTGCCAAAACAACTTTCATCCTGGAAAATCGGAGCAATGTGGGCGTCACGTGACCCGGGCTTGCCAAAAAGTGTTATACATCTGTAAATCTGTGCCTGTCATTTCTCCATCCACACTGACTTTTGTAGTCGAGCAGGAAGCTAAAACATTGCGACTTTGACTTGTGAGTTTAGTTCTGTACCTGATACAAAGCCTAAAGCCCTCAGATTGCTTGCAGGTTGATTATTTTGAGCCATTAAACTGTTGACACGGGGGTGAGGTAGCTGTTTGGAAAAACAGGATAAGGTGTTCATTGTGGGTGTGCAGCTGGGCAGAGTGTATATGCTTCATTTACTGTCAGACTTACGGTCAGGGAAGGAACGTAAATGGGAAGAGGAAGAACGTAAATACAGTGTGTGTGTGTGTGTGTGTGTGTGTGTGTGTGTGTGTGTGTGTGTGTGTGTGTGTCTCTGTCTGTGTGGTGCACATAAATGTGTGCTTTCTCATCTAACTGTATGTTTCTGCATATTTATGTCACTGAATGAAAGGAAGGTGGAAGAAAGCTTTGTGTGTGTGCATGGCTTCATCACTCCTTCCATCACTCATTATCACTCCTTCCAGGAAGTACTCCACAGAATTTCCTTTTATAGAAGCTGAATACAAAAGACTTGTTGTCCACTTCCTGTAAACATCTTGCCGGCCGCGTTCTCCGCTCTCTGGTTGGCCAGAGTGATCCTGTGACCCTTTGTGGCTCAGGGAGTTCCAGGATGAGGAAGTAGGCTTCCCTTGATCACAGCCAACCACAGAGAATAGAAAGTACCCTGATGTAGTGAGAGAGTGGGGAATGAGGAATAGAAATGGTATAGGCACAGGCATGTTGCTGGCTTGGCGGGATTTTAAAGGCAACATATTTCAATAGAGCTGAAATAACTGCTCAATTAAAAACTTAGGTGATTGGGTGAAAGAAAACCTGACTAGTTTTAATAATTTTTTTTTTAAAGCATAAAAGCAAAACAATTGGGTCTAGCTTCTTAAATGTGAAAGTTTTCTCTTTGTTTCAGTTTCACATCATTGCAAGCTCAATACCATTAGATCCTGGGCTGTTGTCTAAAATTATTATTTCTACAGCACTCAATGCCGCCATGTAAAAAACACACAAGTGCACCATGTGTTTCAGTAGTCTGCACAATGCAAATGCTAATAGCAGCTACCTGAAGCTATGCTGAAAGGCTTAAAGCTAAATGCAAACACAGTTTATGCTAGGAGTGAGACTCACCACAATGTCACTGCATGTTGCCCACAATAGTGTTGGTATTGTAATACAGCCATTCTGTGATTGTAACTTCAATGTTTACTTTGAAAGTGTTGATAGAAATGTATAGAAAAGGTCAGGGGTTGCACTTTATAGAGCTAGAGAAAGCATATGGTAAGGTGCCAAGAGAGGAACTGTATTACTATATCAGGAAGTGGCAGAGAAGTTTGCGAGGGTGGTGCAGGACATGTAGGAGAACAGCGAGACAGTGGTGAGGAGTGACAGATGGGTTTAAGGTCGAGGTGGGATCTGCACTGAGCCCTTTCTTGTTTGCGATGGTGATGGACACGTTGACAGTTGAGGTCAAGCAGAAGAGGTAGTGAAGGTGGGTGAGTTTAAATGCCTGGGTTTAACCATGCAAAGCAATGGACAGTGAAGAAGAAAGCGCAGGTTGAGACAAGAATTGAGAGTGATTTATGACAGAAGGAAAGAAGCAAGAGTGAAAGGGTTGATTTACAAGATGGTAGCGCGGCCTGCTACGATGCGATCAATACGATTGCTTAGAGATGGTGAGATTAACCGAAAGATGCTAATTTTCCTGGGAGGGACCGGTATGGACAGGATTAGAAATGAGTGCATCAGAGGTATAGCTCAGGTTTAATGGTTTGAAGATTAAGTTAAAGAGGGAAGGGTGAGAGGGTTTATACATGTGCACAGGTAGGCGATATACTGGATAAAGGAATGCTGAAAATGGAGCTGCTAGGCAGGAAGAAAAGATGTCAGATTATTAGTATGCTGATTTGTTTTCCGCTGATATCTTTCCCCTTGTGAGTTTTTTGTACTAGAACTTCTTTTCACTTTTTCACTTTCTTTTTCATTTGAGAAGTTCCACCACGAATGAGCAGTAACTCTAGTACGTCAGATTGTTGGGTTTATAGTGGCTGTCCTTCCTAACCATTGTGTTTTATTATTGTACCGCAAGAGGAAGCAGTGTGATACTGACATATTGATATTTTACCTCCACCCTATTATGTTTTACCCCAAAGCTACGTGAAACACGATCAAATGCTCTATTGAAGCGTCTATTGGCAGAAGGAGGGTGTGTTTTAGGGCAGGGAATGTGTGTGAGTGAGGTATGCACAAGGCTTGTGTGTTTGTGATGAACAGGGCAACACACCCAGCTCCTGCTGCAGCCCTGCAGGCTATGGAATTCCTACAGAGAGACAACGTGTCTCAGCCTGAACAGCCTGCTCCCAAAATTCATCCCAACACACACACACACACACACACACACACACACACACACACACACACACACACACACACACACACACACACACA